GCATTATTTTCCTTTGGAAAATTTGGATGAAAATCTATAAACTTTTGTAATAGAACTTTTTTTCACTTGAGAATATAGAGAATAGAGATGATGAAAAGAGAGAGAGATCCTGACCGAAAAGTAAAAGTAAATACTAACTTTAAGAAGACAATTAAAAAAATAACAGCTTTATTGAGGTACAATTTACATACGCTATGATTTACCCATTTAAAGTTTAATTCAGTGGTTTTTAGTATATTTGCAGAATTGTGCAACCATCATCACAGTTTTGGAATATTTTCATCACCCCAAATGGAAACCCTGTTCCCATTAACAGTCACTCTCCTTTCCCCAACCTTCCCGGCCCGAGGCAGCCACTCATCTATTTTTTGTCTTTGTGGATTTGTCTATTCTGGCCATTTCATAGAAATGGAATCCTACAGTATGCACAAGGGTTCTCTTTTTCTCCACATCTGCACCAATACTTGTTATTTCTTGTCTTTTTGTTAATAACTATAAAATCTAGAAAGTTGAAAGAAATTATCCTGAGAGACATTAAGATTACTGAAGTGCTTTAAATAAAATTTCCTTTTGCCACTGGTTTAAAATGATTTTGTAGAATCCAAGTTAACCCTGGATTAAAAATAATTGCCTTCATAATTAACTGCAGTTATAAAAGTGGTAGACTAACATATATTCATTTTTTAAAAGCAAATAACATAAAGTAGTAGTTCTTTTTATAAGCTGAAGACCCCTTTAGGAATCTAAAGAAACCTATGGCTATTCTTCCAGTAAAGTGGACATGTGGACATTTGCATAACATTTCTGGGGATTTTCAGTTCTTCATATTCTTACTCAAAGTAAGCACTGCATTGCTTGAATGCTATCTGAAAATTAGCTTAAACTGTAAGTTGAAAGCAGTTTATACTTAATTTAAAAATCTTTTAACCTGTTATCCTTGGTTTAAATTTTTGTACTATCGTAGTGAAATTAGAATCTCATTACATGCAGTTATTTTTTTTTTGAGTGCATGTATGTTCTAAAGAATAGCAAATCATATATGAGCATTTCAGTGTCTTAGGTCGTGAAAATTCTGTACTTATGACACTTTTTGCCTCTATTTTAGAATTTCATGCTGCTTAGATTAAGGTTAAATACATTTTCACAAATTCAGTATTTGGCTTACATTTTAATATGTTGCTGAGAGCAAGCAGCAAAAAATAACTGGGCTACTTATTTCATTTCATGTAGGGCCATCTTGCCTGAAAGCTAGTTTGCCATGTTGAAGGACAGACTTTCCTATCTCTCTCTTAGAATTACAAAAAAAGTATTTAAACTGATATGATGAGGTAGGTCAAATGAGAACTGTTAGATTACTCATGTTAATGACACATCTTTTCATTTGTAGAC